AACTAAACTATGGAAGCTGTAGTCGATGGTGCAATCATACAGAAACGCTGCTCGATTCAAACCATTTCTTTTTGCATTTCGAAGATTTTTCATCTGTTCTTCTGTACGATAAGCTCGACGATTTCTCTCTCTTTGCTCTTGTGTTTGAGAAGCACGAATTAAGACCCTTCTTTGCTCCATATTAACGCGGCGCTGTTCTTGTGTTTCAGAGCTATTCCGTTGCCTAATTGCATTACGGCTTCGCTGGGAAAGATTGGATCTTCTGGGACGCGGCATTGTTATTAAAATGATTAATACAAAATTAAACAAATAAATAAAACAAATATTAAATATTATTAAACAATACAAATGAACAAATGAACTTTTTAGACAAACACACACATGATGTCTTCAGAAAAAAATAAAGTTTTGGCTTTAGGGCCGCAACAAACAGGCCATAAGTTGTTTTAAAGATGTATTCTGCCACTCGCGACGGAAACAAACCCAACATTTTTTACATTTATACTCTCTTATATTGATATGCTATTGTCCCGCTCATCGCTCCCTCTTACAGTACATAGAAGCGCACGCATATATATGCACCCTCCGTACTGCTTATATTGCAGTGCTTTGACCTTTTCTTGTCGCAGTCTAAAATCGCCGCGCATCGTTCCGAGCAGTCCAATTGTTTATACATATGTCCAACGCGAACGTAAATTAGCTCTTAATTATCGTAAAGGTTTAACGAACCTAATTGTAGTTCACGGCACGCCCCTTTTAATTGTACAAAAACATCGAATAATAAGCAAATATTTGATCTCTAGCGAAGCTTAACGGCGATTGCGGTAAGCGCAAGAGAACATCAAGTACGCAGAAGCTCAGGAACGCACACATAGAGTGCGAACAGAGTCAGCAGAAATTAACGGGACCAGGACAGACGACGTAGCAGTGAAAACTTCTCCCTCATCGTAAATTGGGTGATACCATTATCATTGTGCGTCGTAGAATTAGTCTCCCACGTGTTCCCTGCTCAAACAACTGGGCGCATGTCTCGCTTCGTCGTGCTCGTGTACATTCCTCATACGTGTTGATTGTGACCACTCCGGGGTGCACGATGAACGGCCAACACTCCAACGGAACCCACTACTCAACCAATTCCCCCATAGGAACTCGGAGTCCCGGCAAACCATAAATATTGTTGTAATTTCGGCCCTGGCGTGACTGAGAGATGTACGCCAGCCAAGTCGCTTCCTTACAGTGTGTACAATAATTCGATTTTCCAATGCATCAAATCTACACAGGTGACAAATTATGCTTACGAGTAGATATGTAAATACGACACATAAGACAGTTGTGGCGGTTCAACCCATTCGGGAACTGGCAACAACGCAAGTGCTGGCTCCGAGAGTTATCGATGATAACATTAACATATTTAACATTATTAACTCCTACAGTTGCAGAGTCTGCTCCGGAATCCATCCGCACCGTGCCTGCCGACGCTTTCTTCCCCTGAACGCCGAGAAGAGAGCCGAGCCGTCTTGATTAACAAGTACTGCGCTAATTGCCTGGCTCATCAGCACTTTGGCAACGACTGCCGTAGTACCAAGGGCTGCAAGGTGTGTGACGGGAGCCACCACACGCTACTTTACATACGTGCGTCCCATCGTTCAGGCCGCGCTTCCGCACCAGCCCCTCCGGCCGTTCTGAAGGTCGAGCCCCGCCTGCGCGTCCGCACGCCACTACGCCCCGTGAGCGAGACGGTGCGTACCCGTTTCGATGACAGTCGCCTCGCCGACGAGCGCTTCCATCGCCCATCCACGATCTCCCTCGGGCTAGGAGCCGACGTTTACCAAAAGGTGATCCAACCCGGGCTCGTCGCCCTAGGAGACGGCCTTCCCGTGGCTCAAAGCACAGTGTTCGGACGGATTTTGTCCGGGGCGTGCATTCAGTCATAGAGTTTTACATTGCAGTCCTGCAATGGGGGGAGGGGAAGGATGTTGAGAGTAGCAGCAGCGAGTTGGCAGCGGGCTGCTGTTAACAGCCTGAGCTCGCTCTCACTCCCTATGCTCTCCTTTTTGCCTGGCGCTCGCGAGCTGGCTTGCAGCCAGCCGCTAAGCTGTCTTCAGTATTCTACCCACCCCCGTACATTCCGGTATACGCGAGTCGATAAAAAATGAATTCTACATCCACACATACATCCATACATACACAAACACATACCTTTCTACACCCGCGCCGTTTCGAGTGCATAATAAACCACCATAATATCGAATATACTGTGCCTCTTCATTTCTGGACGCTCGGGTTTCCCGAGGACTTATCTGCAGCGACAGGAGCCGCCCTCCTACAATCAGACTGAGATACTCTAGATATAACAAAAAAAAACAACAGCACCAAGAAAGATAAAACACTGAAAATTTTAAATTAATACAAGAAGAAGAAGAAGGAGAAAAACAACAACGAAGCAGCAATGAGAACAAAACGAAAAAAAAATTTACAACAAAAAAATGTTTAAATAAATCATGGTTTTTTAATAACATTCAGCTTTTAAAAAATAAAAAACAATTAAATATGTTGTATGGATTGAATATAGTTCGGTTAGTGGTTCCAAATAATAAAGACGCATTCACCACTTTAAAAACTTTGAACGTAAAAATATTAATTAATAAGCAGAAATTAGCACACTCTACAAAGCCCTTGAAATGGTAATCGATGCGTTGGGTGCCTAAAGCGATCCAAATGCCACACAAGTCTTCCCAACGACCCGTTTAAAATATACTGGACTAACAGACTCGGTTGCAGAAATAATAATCGCCTGATTGTAGGCTGATTTGGATGGGATAGCGGATAAGAAGGCCTTAAAGCAATCTACCAGATTTTACAGTGCCCTGTGAAGTATATATGTACATATGTATAAGCAGAATCTGCTTTTACTTCCTAGTGCATTTTCGCAGATCGATTGGTTAGTATTTCCACCCAGTTTCCTTCATCCATAGCTTAAATGACATTAATGCTGAATACGATAGACATATTGCGCATCCTCGGATATGTACGTCCCTCTATTCTCAGTCAATCTAATTATTTTCGTGGCATTTCCTATCCTATACCCTGCAACGAGCGTCCTACGGTCAGTTTTTTATTTGCCATCACATCTCAGTGGAGACTAGAGGGCGCTAGATGATCGAATTCTACCAGACTATGTTAACAGAACAGCTTGGAAAAGCTTGCGGCTCTATAAAAAAAACTGCAGCTAAACCTTACTCTCTTTCTCAAACATTCCTTTGTTGCGGCGTTGACTTCCGAAAGGAAAGTAAAGAAAAAACCAAACTATAAGCGTTTCAACATTGCTATTTCGTATGCATGGTATACGTATCGTGGGACAAATTTTATACACGGTACTCGAAGAGTAAAGGGTGTATTATATCTGTGGTACAAAATGTAACACCCAGAAAGAAGCCTTTCCGACCCTTAAAATATATATATTCTTGATCAGCATCAATAGCCGGAACCTATCCTTGGATAGGGTCTCTAGGGACTTTTCGCGAGCTTCGAAGTAGCCGTCTTTTTAAACTTTTCCCAGTTAAAAATAAAGGAATTTCTATAGAATTTCTTCGTAGCGTTCTTAAATTAATCACACTTGAACTGAATGTAGAAGGATGGTCTTTTCAAAACTCCAAGACAGATACCAGTGCCCTTTTTCCTGCAACAAGTGTTAGATCTAGCAAGTCCCAAGTTTGCTACGTCTATATTAGTTGTTAATATGAAATCTAGGAGGGACTCACCTCTGTAATTGATGTCGAGTCTTTCCCACACACTGTGGTGGGCACCAGCGTCCATATCAATGAGAAGTTGCTGATCGTTGGAGCCAGCTTTTGCCACCTAAGTTGTAAGTTCCTAAGATCTTCAGGTGGTGCGGGCCTGTCGTGTGCCATGTAGCAGTAAGCTACCATGAGGCGCTTTTCCTCGCTCTTTAGCATCACCACTGTACGGTCATCCCTGCTGTAATAAGACATAAGATAAGCGTGTATTCCCGTTCGCACATAAAAGTTGGGGGACTTTAGTCCGGCCACTGAGTTTCCGGTTGCTATCCAGGGCCTTTGGGCTAAAGCTACGTTCGCGGGCCATTGCTCCATGGCAAATAGGAGCTCCGCCGATGCTACTTGCTTTTATGTAGGTTGAGATGCAACAGAAACGCCTGCAGTTGGCAGACCGTGCCCATCAGCCACATTATAATTGGGTGGTCGTTGCACTTGAGGATTTTGACACCGTTGAGCCACCGCGGTGCACCGTTGAGCTTCCAGGTTATCGTTCATGAAACTTTTTATACCCGGTCTCGAAGAGTAAATAGGGTATATTTGATTTGTGGGGAACAAATGTAACACACACAAGGAATATTATATATTATATATAATATATATATATATATATTATAATATAATATAATATTATATTATATATTCTTGATCAGCATCAATAGCCGAGTCGATAGAGCCATGTCTGTCTGTCCGTCTTGTTTGTCGGCTTGTTCTCAGATACTATAAGAGCTAGAGCCACCAAATTTTGCATCCAGACTGCTATATGCTCACACTGAAACCAGTGCATTTAAAAAATGAGCCACGCCCCCTTCCGCCCCCGCAAAAGAGCGAAAACCTACCAAACCTACAATTTTGAAGATAAAAGAAAACTAAAAACGCCATTCCGTAGTGAATGGCCATATCTATCAGACCACCAAATTGAGATCCGATCGGGTCACTATTATAGCCACAATGAAGAAATTAATTTCCAGTGGCTAAACCCACCCTGTCCCGCAGCTTTTGTTGCTCTTTTTACATTCTCTTATTCACACTCTGCTTCTGCTTCACTCGGCCCCTGCCTCTGCCCTCCCCCTGGCGATAACTCTTCCGACTTTTAACCCACCCCGTCCCGCAGCATATATTGGTTTTTTTTTTGTGTGCGGGCGCTGCCTCTGCCTCGAGTCTGCAGTATGTGGTTCTAGGGAAGGGCGGCGAGCGTGTTGGTGCGAGAAGTGTTGTAGATGTAGATGACAGATGAAAAAACAATTTAAAATTTGACAAAACACCGCTGAGGTGCAAATGCACTATTGTCCCAATGACCAGTTTTGGTGGCTGTTTACGTCAAATTAGCGCAAAGGGCTTATGGCCGGGAGCAATTAGTATTTTGTATAAGTAAAATGAATTTGTAGCATTAAGCTATTGAATTGTTGCATTTACGACATACTGACAGAAGTTTGTATTAGAAAAAGAGTGACCATCAAAGTTGCGTACCAGAAAATTTCATAGATGGCGCCACTTTCGAAAAATCTGCTGTGAAACCTAGCGGCCATTATTGCACAGAATGTGCAGGGAAAAAGTACCAATTTTATTGCTGTTTTAAATATCTCATAAATTGCAAAATACGATTAACTGATCAGATTTTTTGATGCATTTTATTTAGTAGAACACTACGTGTTCTGTAATGTGAACGATATCTAGTGGTTGGCGATGTCTTCTACATCTAGATGTAGTCCTGAGTGCCGGGTATAAAATCCAATCATTACCTATATTTTCGAATATAAAAAAAAAAACAAAAAAAATAATCTCTCTGGTCTTAGGATTATATCGTTCTCTTAATCATAAATTGTTACAATGGCGGTTAGGCAAAGTATTGACAATCTAAATGTTAAGCTCGGCGAGGTAGTCATACACTGTACTATATGCAATGACACTAACCAGGACCCCGACATTGTAGAAACCCAGTGCAAACACAACTACCCCAGGTCGTGTTTATCGGATTGGTTGACATCCAATGAAACATGTCCGATTTTTAGGCAGCTGTGTTCACTACCGTTGCGTTCACGATCCCAATCGAACTTACAGAGTGGGGAAAATACCGAGGCGAATTCGTCGTACACCGGAGCAATTCCGAAAAATCGTCCTAAAACAAGGTCACGAAATACCCCCAGCTTGAATGGGAGAGTGATATTGCTCCATCCTTCCCGCGAATGAGCAGCGCTAGCAATCTTCGTAACAATAGTTACAGGCCACGCCCATCTAGCGCTCGTGCTAATGTCGCCGATATTCCTAGTGAACATCCTGATAAGATCTCCAATATCATTTCCAAGTGGCGTATAAAATTCAGTGGATCGTCCATCGAAGACTTTATTTATAGAGTGAATTGTCTTACCAATAATTGTTTAAATGGAAACTTTACCTTACTGGCGCAGTTTGCCAGTCTCTTGTTTACTGATTCAGCCTTGTCATTTTACCGTCGTGTTCATAGGACCGCGAATAACCTTGACTGGTATGAGTTATGCAGCCGATTGCAAGAGAGATACCAGGATCAACGTTCGGATCGAGAGATCAAAGCAGCCATGCGTAGGCGCAAAACAGGGTAGTAATGAAGGCTTTGACGAGTTCTTAGATGCGATGCTATCTATCGCAGACTCTTTACGAGAGCCTATGCAGGATGGTGACGTCACCATTGAGGTTCGCGAAAATTTAAAATCGGAACTGAAGCTCGACTTGCTTCATATCAAAACTCCAGATTTGGCAACCTTACGCAAAGAGTGTCACAAGCACGAGGAATTCTTTCGAAATCTGAAGTTGAAGCCTTTTTCGCGACACGAAGTAGTGAATAGCAAGAGGTTTGTGAACTCCATAAGTCATGACAAAAAAGCTTAGGATAATTCCGAGAAAGAAAGGGACTCCCTTGACGAAGTTTATGCACTCCGATCTTCCGAAATTAGTAAATGCTGGAATTGTGAAGAACAGGGCCACAAATACCAGGAATGCCTAAAAAGTCGTCGTATTTCCTGCTATGGTTGTGGTGTATCTGATACGTACAAGCCCAACTGTGCAAACTGTCGATCGACGACGGAAAACTTATCCCAGGATGTCCGTCGGCCAACGAGACGCGAACGAGACTTTTATACCCGGCACTCAGTACTACATCTGCACCTCTAATCTTAATATCTAATACCTCTAATCAAACATTTCTCCTTAAGCGGAAATTGGAAAGCTAGTTCGTTAACATTGCCCAACTGGTTGGTCTCAGAGACTGATTTCTTCTAGCATCGTGATGCATCGGAAACGGAAAAAGAGCGCGCTCATTTGAGACGACATCTGAACACGGACGCAGATCCCCTCGTTGGCATACAGCTGTTCAGACGGACTGTGGCTGTACACATTCCGAAGTGACACGCCCTCGGGCTCTTTCGTGTCCTCCTTTTCCGAAGCCTTCTCCAAATGCTCATCGGAGCGAACCTTGTGCTCTGGTCCGAAAGCGGAAGCGGCTTCCGAATTAGTTCCCGCAGTGCTTGAGTCGACATTCGGCGTTTGGTTGCGACGCAGATCCGTGATAATGACATGAAGAGCATTAAAGCAACTCCTGAAGCTGGGTCGTTCCGATGGATCTGTGTGCCAAAACATCAATAGCAAGGAGTGCCTGCCAAAAGGGAGAGATCAAATTTAGAAGCAGCCTTCAATGGTAAGGGGGTGGAGAAACCAATTACATTTTTTCGGGACAGATGGTGGGTTGATGAAGACGTCCACCATCCTTCACATGGGCGAGCACCTCGAAGTTGTTCCTAGCAGCATACGGCTGCTGACCCAGGGTAAGGATCTCCCAGCAGAGTACGCCGAAAGCCCACACATCTGACTGGGTGGTGAACACCCCATCCACGAGGCTCTCCGGGGCCATCCAGCGTACTGGGAGCTGCCCCTCGCCCTCTTTTCGGTAGTTGCTCTTGTAGATGTCGCGGGCCAGGCCAAAATCGCCAATCTTCACCATACGCCGGTGCCCTTGCCCGTGACCCGCCTCTGCATCCTCAGACACTAGACAGTTGCGACAGGCAAGATCACCATGAACGAAGTGCATGTCCTCTAGATAGCTGCAGCCATTGGCTACGTCAATGCACATGGACAGCAACTCCGACAGCGACAGTCCCTTCACTTCCTCCTTAAAGATTACAATGGGAAGGGGGTAAATGTTAATGCCGTGGCAAGACTGGGAGGAAAGAGCTTGGACGGCCCCTGTGGAATTACCTGAGATTTGGGTCGAGCAGCTCTCAGGTATAAGAGGAGATCGCCCACCTCCATATGTTCCAAGATCAGAGAAATGGAGTCGGCGTCAAAGCAGATGCCCACAAGGCACACAATATTTTCATGCTTAAAGGTGATCATTAGTTGCGCCTCTTGTAGCAGTTCGGAAAACTCGCTGGCGCCCTTTCGCAGGCTCTATGTATTAATTAGCAGGCGATTATAGTGGTCGACTTGTTTGAATTTGTTGTTTCGTTTAATCACCTTGATGGCCACGAGCTGCGTATCCTTTTTGTCCTCCGTCTTCAAGTCTCCCTCGTAGACTTCGCCGAAGGCTCCGCTGCCGAGGAAGCGGCGAAGGGTCAATTGGCTGCGACTGATTTTCGGCAGCAGGGCGATGTCCGCTTCGCTGAGCGTCGTGGAAAAGGTGCGGCTGCGGCCGACCAGCATTTGTTGCTGGGTATGCAACGTCGACAGGTTGCTCCAGATGCTTGGACGGCTCTGCTGCAGCAGTTTCTTGGCCCGCACGCGCCGCTTTTGCACTGCTTGGATATCATATATTTAAAATGGAACAGCCATGTAGTGTGAAGTAGATGTATAAAATATGAATAAAATTACATTCAGTTTCAACTGTGGTGCGATAAGAAAACTTGCCAAACAATTCATGAACCGGTCAACAAGAAAATATATATATTTTTATGGATAAAAATCAGGGGCAGCAAAATCGGCAAAAGCACAGCGTTAAATCTTCGTGGGGCTTCGGCCTGCCGCATCGGCAGTTATGCCGATGTCCCTATGCCTATGTCCCAAACGCAAAAACATGTGAGTACCTGCGTGCCGGCCCCTCTACTAAAGCTACTCCCAAAAGGGAACAATTGAACGAGAAAACAGTAAAACAGCTCAGTTCACTTAACAGTTGGACAACCCAACAGCACGAGTGTACCCACTATAAGTGAATAAGAATAAACCAACTATGTTTGTTTGTGTGAACTTCCCTTTGTAGGTGTGGGCAGGGTTGCACACAGGAACAGTTAGGATATAAGTACATAATTACATAAGTAATTCGAGAACTCCAGAGTGTAAGGGATGTAAGGATTGTAGCTTTGCGGACCAGGAAAAGGGCCATCACACAGCTGGACATAATGGCCGCCGGGGTAATGATGGCTAGCGCCAGGGAGCCGCGCTTCTCGGGAGAGATGAAGGAACTGCAGCTGCTGGAGCTGGGACCATACGCATTGACCCTCTCCTGGGCAGGCACCTCGGACACGCTGAGCTCCCTAGTCATCGAGTGCCGCTCATCGGCGGAACAGCTGCGCTTTGAAGTTGCAGGAAACCACTCCTGGATGGTGGTGGAGCCACTGAAGCCGCGCACGCGCTACGAGTGCCAGATGCTGCTCGTATTCGCGTCCTTCCCAGGCGCTCCCGTTTACCGGGGACCGAGCCATAATTACGTGACACTTGGGGATGCACCTGGTGCGCCGGGAAGGCCACAGCTTCAGCACATTGCCGGTGAGATCTTCCGGGTGAACTGGAGCGCGGCCCGTGGCAATGGGGACCCCATCGACCTCTACAACCTCGAGGCGCTGCAGGCCAGGGTCAAGTCCAGGTCCAGACGAAGGCGCCGCAGTCATAGTGTGGGAGGGGGCCAGCTAGCCCTGCTATCATGGGCCGAGGAGCCGGTGGCCATCGAGGACCAGTGGCTAGACTACTGCAACACCACCGAGCTGAGCTGCATCGTTCGGCTGGGCGCCATACAGCGAGGACAGCGACCGAGTGTCGGAGCCCTTCATCGGAGCCCCCATAAAGACGAAGAAAACAAATTAAAAAAGATTAAAATGACGCATATAATTAATGTGTTAGAGAAACCAACCAATAATTCAATAATAAAAAAAGATTATCATAGTTATTCATCTTATTTACGATCGTATGACAACAATGATGAAACTCGGATTTCAATACAAAATCAAGATTTGTATGTTTTACCACGCGAAAGTTGTCTACACATTCAAGGATATATCACTAATCTTGATGATTCAGTCGTAAGCAATATACCTTTATTAAATAATTGTATGGCATATTTATTTAACGAAATACGTTATGAATTGAACGGTAATGAAATTGATCGAACGCGACATTTGGGTGTGACAACTGATTTGAAAAATGACTTACCAATAAATCAAAATCAACAGCTTGTATTAAAAAATTATGGATGGTCAATTGATGATGATATAAAAATGGAAAAAGGAAACTTTAATTTTTGCATACTGTTGAGCATGGTTACTTGGATTTGCAGAAGATTATAACAAGATATTACTCAAAGGAAAGCATGAACTTATTCTATTACGAGAAATGAATAATGATGGTGTTTTTAAAAGTACTGATGCTGTTGCTGCAAACATCTCAAAATTGAAGATGACATTTTCTAGCATTGTATGGAAAATACCTCATGTACAATTGTCTGATGCTTATAAATAATACATGTTTAAAGTAATAAACAGGCAAACACCGCTATTGCTATCATTCAGGAGTTGGGATATCTATTATAATCCAGTAGTTCCAGAGAGCACTTCATTTATATGGAATGTAAAGGTAAAGGTGTTGGCAATGATAAGAAGTATATTCATTGAAACTTAAGTGATTTGAAAGTGTATCTAAACTCTGAAGTAATTCCATATGTTTGGAGCAGCAGCTANAAAAACTTTGATTAGATTTAGGTTTCAAATTAAAGACGAAGAAAACAAATTAAAAAAGATTATAATGACTCATATAATTAATGTGTTAGAGAAACCAACCAATAATTCAATAATAAAAAAAGATTATCATAGTTATTCATCTTATTTACGATCGTATGACAACAATGATGAAATTCGGATTGCAATACAAAATCAAGATTTGTATGTTTTACCAAGCGAAAGTTGTCTACACATTCAAGGATATATCACTAATCTTGATGATTCAGTCGTAAGCAATATACCTTTATTAAATAATTGTATGGCATATTTATTTAACGAAATACGTTATGAATTGAACGGTAATGAAATTGATCGAACGCGACATTTGGGTGTGACAACTGATTTGAAAAATGACTTACCAATAAATCAAAATCAACAGCTTGTATTAAAAAATTATGGATGGTCAATTGATGATGATATAAAAATGGAAAAAGGAAACTTTAATTTTTGCATACTGTTGAGCATGGTTACTTGGATTTGCAGAAGATTATAACAAGATATTACTCAAAGGAAAGCATGAACTTATTCTATTACGAGAAATGAATAATGATGGTGTTTTTAAAAGTACTGATGCTGTTGCTGCAAACATCTCAAAATTGAAGATGACATTTTCTAGCATTGTATGGAAAATACCTCATGTACAATTGTCTGATGCTTATAAATTATACATGTTTAAAGTAATAAACAAGCAAACACCGCTATTGCTATCATTCAGGAGTTGGGATATCTATTATAATCCAGTAGTTCCAGAGAGTACTTCATTTGTATGGAACTAGCTGATCCGGCGAACTCGCACCGCCTAACAGTCAATGAATGTCGTGTTACTTTTAGCTGAACTAATTTAGGCTTTGATGAACGTAAAAAAATGATACAAAATAATATCTTTATATAGATAGAAACAAAAAAGTACCAACTTGATAGCGCGTGATTTCATCGTTGGTAGTGGATGTTTGGATACCAAAAACCGCCATGTCGCTCCCTTTCGTGACAAATTTGCAAAAGTATTTAATTGACTTGACCGAATTGCAATCACTTGGCATGCGCTCTAAATCAGTCTTGAACAGCCTGACCAATGCATGATGTTCATTAGGCATTTTCTGTAGATCTTGGAGAATTGCTCTATTCGTAGCTGTGTCGATCCCTTGACGCCTGTCAAGTTGTTCTTCCATATTGCCCATATTGCAAGAATTTATGCTGTGCATCTTCTATAGGTTGCAATGATCCAATGCGATGGTAATAGGATTTTAGATCTTGAAATGACTTTTAGTGTTTGTCGGAAATCGCCAGAAAATAAAATCATTGCACCACCAAAACATCTCGAGTCATTGCGCAGATCTTTTAATGTTCGGTCTAGTGCTTCCAATGCTCGTTTGTGCGCCATTGAACATGCGTCCCATATGATGATTTTTGATGCTACTAAAACTTTGGCCATTGCGTAGTTTTTCGAAATGTTCATTCTGGACGTTGATATGCAATGACTGCACCATCAAGTGGCCCATGCGACACCAAGCCAAAGCCTGTTACGCGCGGAACCTAGCAGAACGCAGCCCTCCTCCCGCCCAACCGACCGAGGGGCGCTGCCGCATGACGCGCGGCGCGATTAACCGAACCGGTCGCGAGCATGCAGGAAAGATAGATGTTAGGCTAATATTCGAGGAAAATTAGATCTAATCATAACTAGACTAAGCTAAGCAAGCAGAAATTACCAAAATCAGAAACAAGACAAAACTAAAATGAAACTAACTACGGGAGAGGTAGGCTAGTATAAGAGATTTAAGAAGAGGAAGGGAGTTAGTTGAGGATATAATGTGGTAGAGGGAATTATAATCCGAGCATAAAACCCTAAAGGGTTCGTGTGAGGCATAATTCGATCTACATAGTGGAAGGAACAAAGGAATAAAGTTTCTAGTGGGTCTAATGGGAATCGTAAAGTTTATGCGGCTCAGCAAGTCAGGGCTGTCTACATCCCCCTTGATCAAGTTGTGCATAAAAATTACACCAAGCATTTTTCTACGACTAACTAAGGATGGAAGATTTATTAAAAGAAGTCTACTACGGTAGGATGGCAGTCTCACAGTTGCATCCCAGTTGAGGCCCCGTAGGGCAAATAATAAAAAGTTGTTCTGTACTGATTCAATACGGTCCTGATGTATGTTGTACTGAGGGCACCATACACATGAGCCGTATTCTAAAATCGGACGAACAAGCGAGATATAGAGAGTCTTCGTTATATAGGGGTCCTCAAATTCCTTTGACCACCTCTTTATAAACCCAAGCACACCCATGGCTTTATTTACCATGGTAGAAATGTGTTCAGAAAACTTTAACTTTGGGTCTAGTTTAACACCTAGATCATCAACCAATGTAATTCTCTCAAGAGAACTACCGCAGAGGGTGTAAGGAGCCAGGAAGGGGCTGGAGCGACAAAAAGTCATAACATTGCACTTCGAGGCATTAAGTTGTAACATATTTGCACAGCACCATGACTGAAAGCTATTGAGATCAGATTGCAAACGAGAGTGAAATGAAATGTCCTTATACTGGACACAGAGTTTAACATCATCCGCATACATAAGTACTCGAGAATTGGTTAATACAGAAGGCAGGTCATTAATAAAGAGTGTGAAAAGTAAGGGGCCTAAATGGCTACCCTGTGGTACTCCAGAAGTAACCATAACAGGTAAAGATACGGAGTTTTTGAAAAGGACCCTTTGAGACCTAGAACACAGGTAGCTAGAAATCCATCTCAACAGATTGGGCGG